TTTCCTCAGTCCTGGGCTAAAGCAATGGCTTTCCACTGCCATTAATATATTCCGTGACTGTCTTTCTTGCAAGAGACTACTGAGTCCTATGGCTCAGTCCTCTAATTACTATGTAATAAATATTAAAAAATCCTCCCACTTTATTAATGTTTACTGCTGTTGTAGCTATTTCATTTATATGTCATGTTTGAACTGTGCTACTTAAAATACAAAGATCCTGCTTGATAATATGATTTGGAAGTCTACAACCTGAAAACTGGATGTCACAGTTGTTTTCATATGAGTACACATCAGAACAAAAAAGAGTGTCATCTTGCTATGGATAACAGCACAAAAAGAAAGAAGTTTGTGCCACCTTATATTTTCAGCAAGATAACTATATTATTCTAGGAATAATTTTTTAATATAATTCAGATATAATCTTGTTCTCTTTGAGGATATCAAACAGTCCAGCATCTGGACCACAAAAAGGGACAGAAATGGCCTTTAAGTCTATGTGTTAGACAATACAGATATTGGGATCATTGACCTGCTGGGCTACTGAAATAAATTTTTAAAAAAATATATCACAAAAGCTGAAAAATCTATAATAAATAATTGCTTTTTCCCCATCTGCTTGAAGACGAGCATTTTAAATTCATGCCAAGATAATAAATGACTTCATAAGCTCATTGTTTTCCCAAGTGAAAAACAGTTTATAGGGAAATTCCATTTTATTGGGAGGCAATTGATATAAATGCCATTTTCAAAACTACTTTTTATTCCAGGTTTGCTCCTTCAAGCTTTAATTTTATTCACTGCAGCTAGAACTCTAAAAGAGTTCTTATTTGGTGTTCATTTTCATAATTTCTTATAAAAGTAAGAAATGTTCAAGTAATGTCTGTAATTAGACTAAAGGAAGCTGGGGATGAATTGGGAAGAGCAATCAAGATTTTCTCCCTACTTGCATGAGAAGCAGACAGAAATTATTGAATATTTTGATTTAGGAGCATATCTAGCACATGCCTGGTCATAAGCACATGCCATCGTCGCATTGTTTTTTCAAAATTTAAACCTGAATCTGTAGGATTTTGAGTTACACTGGAATTAGCTACACGGTGGTAAGTTCATTGCTGTTAGAGCAAGGTCTGTGATACTTGGCCCTTGTAAATGATAGACCTGACAAACCAATCACTTGGCCAACAAACCTTGCACTGTATTTTAGTGAAGGTGTTCATACACTGATATGAGTATGAGGAAAATGAAGGTAGCTCCACAAATCAGTGTAGAAGTCCTTACATCATGTGGTAGGCTACTGAGCTTTGTGACACTACACTGGACATCAAGTAGAAGATAACTGGGATGTGATCCTCTATTAAAATGAACTGTCATTACTGCATTGACTACATCAGCTGAGACCATGGCTAGGTGGCTAGATACCAAAAACATTCTGAAAAGCTCTTTTTCCATGGAAACATTCATTGTTCTAAATGTGATCCTGCAAGAATTAGAACATTTCAGTTTTGGGTCATGGGTGTACTGAAGAGTTTTTCAGTGGTTAATGCTATGAAATGCACCCATACATTTCCTATGGCAAATGCTGGGATTATTCTACTGGGTTTTTTAGGGTTATTTTGAAGAAATTCTATACAAAAGAAAAGGATTGGGATATACACCTTTCATAATTCTGCTCCACAGTATTATGCTGAAGAGACACAAGCTTTCTCTGTTCAGTTCAGAGAAAGTTCAATTTATTTAATTAGCTGTTCTCCCAGTTTACTCAAGTGCAATGCTGCGTGTGTGAATTTTCACACCAGACTACACTTAGAACTTCATAGGTCAGATATAATTTTTAATTACATTACAGATAAATGAATCAGTTCAGAGCCTCTTTTAAGGGATTACAGTCTGTTTCCAAGGCTGGGAACAGATGTAATTATAGTAATGAACTGCATTTCACACCAACTCGCATCCCTTCCAATACACTAAGTTCTACAGGACCGTATGGGTCAGAAGCAAAGCAAAATTTGGCCGACCATTTCAGCTGTTTCAGTACAGCTTTCTTTTGTGTTCTTTATACAATCAACTGCCAGACCTCAGAGAAAATGTTGTCCCATTCACTGTAAAATAGGAGGGTCCACGAAGGAAAATAGTTGCATTAGAGAAACACACAAACGACATTAATGCTACCTAGTTCGATGTTTTCAAACCTTTTTCTTTTCCTCTGCAAGCAATGACAGTTTCAATAGGATCTGAAGCAATACTCTTAACAAATAATACACTAGTCTGTCATATGGTTAATAGTAACGTCTCTCTATTCAAACATGCTGAAAACTGAGTAGAACAGTTAACATATAACAGTCACACATCCTTTGCTGAGTACAAGATTGCATCTCTAACATGAACTGAAGATATCCTAACCATTTCAGATCTTCATCTGTCATTCAGTCAAACATTTCAACCTCTTAAATACATCGCTCTTCCCCTCTTTCTGGGTCTTTCAGGGGTGCTGAGTGAACACATTCTCTCTACAAAGGCATTGCTTATGATATGGTTCTTTCTTCAACAGAAATCTTGCCGTGTGTTTCCAATATGTCGCCAAAGGTGAATTAGCAGAGTTTGGTAGGATTTGGGGGTGAGAAGATCTTACATCTGGACTGAAAAGATTTAATTTTGAAACATCTATTTGGGCAGGATTCTGCACTTTATTGCAGACAGACCATCTCGTGATGAAATTAATGGTGAGCAATTAATTAATTGTGATGGCACTTCACAAATTATTGAATCAGAGCTTTATCTAGTAGGCAGTTTTTATGTTACAGGTATGTTCACAGGGCTGATGGGCAGAGGTAAGCTCACTTTGCTCATGTCCTGAGCTGGCAGGATGTAAATGGCATTGACAGAAAAGTCACACGACCATAGTGATGCAAAGCTGAGCCCCACCTAATACACCTCATCTTTCAGAGGGTTTTTTTGGCCATAAATGCCACAGTCAGCTCAGCTCGAGCACAGTGAGACTGTGCCCAGCCACAACATATTGCAGAAACACGTCAGGGTGAGACCGCTTCTCAGGGTGATCCCACCTTACTGCTACAACAAAAGCTCTGTGTCTGGGAAGAAGGGAGTCTGAACAAGGCATGCTCCATCCTGGGGCATAAAGCATAACTTACCCTCAACTATATTTTTATTGAAAACACACAGCAAAGATTACAGCCATAGAAAGTTCTGTGAACAAGACAATTTCTTCAACTTTATCTTAAAAAATCAAAATCACAAAAGAAACCCAAAATAAGATTTGCTGAATGAAGACTGTGAATAGTAATTTTTTTTTTACTGCCTGGACAAAAAAAAATGACATACACCTTCAGCATTTCTTTTCCAAATTTACTTGACAGAGGTTAAAATATTGCTTTATTCTGACTTCAACATACAACAGCACTGTGTAATTGATTGTGCTATTTTGGAAAGTCTTGAGATTTGTGAACTGGAAAGTCTGGGGCACATTAATAAATTTAACAATTAATTTGCTGCAAAGGAATATTTTAATACATTTTGTATATACTGTAAATTTTTTTAAATCCATTTTCTGACATTAACCAGGGAAGGTTATTTAGCAATTATTTATTATAGTTAATTTTCTTTTCTTCATGAATAAGCAGATATTTTAATACTAATAAAAACAGTGATGTGTGTGTCACTGAACCCAATTCATTGCATTATTGGCATATTGTGGCAAAATTTATGGGGGGAACAGGGACTAGAAAGAAAGCAAATGCAAAAAATGCTTATAATGGGATTGGGATACAGCAACCAGGAAATGACATTTCTTTTCTAAGGCCTCTATCCCCTGCAGGGATTGATTTGGTGGAAACCATCTGCTCTTATATACCCCCAATAGAGTCAGATCTGTGCATTCTTGTGGGTCTGCCCATACTGAACCATCTGCAGGGTTGAAGCTTTAAAGTTCACAAGGCTAAGCCATGATTATTTAAAGTGACTGGAGAACTGAAAGCAGGAAAAATTAGGGCAGCCTGGACACTTATTGGCTGAATTTTGATCATATTGGATCTCCCTGACTCTTCTCTGAACAACCCATAATAAAAAATAAGTTAAAAAAACAGACATACACTCAGAAGCACTCCTTGAGAGCTTACAAATGCTTTCAAAGTTTAGAAATGTTGAGAGATTGTTAATGAAAATGGAGTTTATGTTCCCACTCAAAAAAACCCAAACCAAAAAGCAAAACCAAACCTGTTGTAATACACACTTCTGCACTTTCTCTTGTTCTTCCTTACTATCCACCAAGGCAACTCTGACAGGCAAAGCTCAGTAGATGGAGCAGCTGTGGACTCCTGACCTGCATCACTACAGATCCCAATCCCCCTCCATGCTTGGCCAAACCCAAGGCTCCTAAATGTTTCCACTGACTTTCTTGGGCTGACTGATGCATTAAAGTAAGGTTGAGAGTTAAACATCTGGGTCAGTTTAGGGATTTATTGTCATTCCACAGTAGGTACCAGGCCTCAGAAGTAGATGCCTGTTTTCATGGTATGAACCTGGAACCAAGAGGAGAGAGGGAGAGGGGACCAGGTCTGTGCCAGGGTCATGGGACTTGCTCCCTAGGGTCTTAATCCCTGGCAGGTAGCTCACTGCAGCGCTGCCCTGAAACCAGAAATGAATCTAAGAATGGTCTTGGCCTTTACTGAAAAAAAATGCATAGCCTAAGCCTTCAGACAGCTGAAGAGGACTATGGTACAATGCTCGTAACTGAAACTGTATCTGTAATCCTGCCTAGAAAGCACCTGATGTATGCTTCATCCCTCCTGGAACTTTTCCCTTAAAAAAATATTTTGTTAAAAAACACTATGATATGAGGGCGATTTGACTATTTGGTTTCTTCTAAGTAGATGCTCTTAAATTAATGCATATAAATAATTTGTATTTAATTTCCTCCCTTCCTGTTTAGCAAAGCATCGAATGCACAGATCTCTTGTTTCTCGTCCCACAACCCCCACACAAAGTCACTTGGTCAATACCGAGTCTCTTTGCGTTTCGCTTTTTAAGACAAATTGTGCCTCTCGCTCTGACTTGGCCATGGGGCTCATAGGCAGAAAGGCTGTGTTTTCACTTGCGCTGCTCTCTGCTTCTACGCTTGCCAGTTCATAGTCCTCCAACCGCCTCGCGTCCGTCAGAATTCGAATCTGCTCCTGCACAGTTTCTAGCAATATTTTCACTTCGTGTTGTTCTGCTATAAGACAATTACTGACTGGGGAACTCACATTGACAAGTTCAGCTGAATAGGAGTTTTTGCACCATTTGATGCCTGTTACTTCAGAAACATTTTGCATTTGCATGCAGGCTTCGTCCAAGCCCACAGATGGGATGATGGGGACGGAGTTGGCCCTTGAAGATGAGTAGCCGACTAAGTCCTTCTGATCCACGTTATTAAAATAAGGTGGTGTCTCTCTTGAAGGCAGTTGCATATTTATTGAAGTATTCTGAGGAGTTTTTAAACCACTGGATGAATACCTGGAAAGAGTAAAAAGAAGTTTTTGTTGTACATCAAGCGGTCAGATGCAACCGGCAGCAGGAGCGCTGTATGAGATTCAGTGAACTGTGCAGAGTGATACGTGTCATTTTTCCCTCACTCTAGAAGCACTTGGGAATAGTGTGGCCTTGGGGAAAACAACAGACTCTGGAGACCTGGTTTTGATTCTCAGATCTGCTGGTGGCAAACCACTGCTTGTCTCTCAGTTTCATTTTGCCCACCAGTATATAACTACAATTTATTTTTAAAAGGTTTCAGGAGTCATACTGTATTATTAATTTTCCTAGAATTTACATTTGATATTCCATTCCCACATCCCTAACTGGGGAAATGGATTGATGCTTTCTTCAACATCACAACTCTCAATGTCAAATGGCTATTTTAGGAAAACACTTTAAAAAGGTGTAGGAATAAATAACTTAAAACATTGTTGTGTAGTTTTTATACACATAGAAATGATTGTCTGTGCTCCCATTCAAACAAGCAGAGCATCTAAGTGCAATGTACCTCTGAAAAACTTGTCTTTTATTCAGTAGCCCATACTTGTACTCCTATTTGTTTTCTTGGATCTCATCTGGAAATCAAGCTAATATATTTGGCTAGAGCAAATGTCTGTGTTTTCCTGGTACTGTAATCACGTAACCCTTTATCCTCCATTAATATGTATCATAGCATGATTTTAACTATTGCGAGGCAACTTTGGTGAATTTTTATCAACATTTCCATTTTGTTTCTAAGCCAAATTCATTATTCTGATAAGAAAAAGTTTTCATTTACAGGAAATACTTAAAAAACAGAAATGGAAAGTATACTAAATATAACATAAAGGAAACAATGAAAAAAAGTTTCCATCTGAGAAGCAGTATTACTAGAAATCTGGTGCTCTGAGAGTTACTATATCTATTAACGATTGCCAAGGACCAGAGACATCAACTCAGTACCAGAACATATTTTATTTATAATCAGCTTTGTGATCATATTATTTAATAAAGCAATTTAATGGTGAGGTCTAATATGTTTTATCCATGGATGATGAAAGCAACATTTACATTTAGATCTATTGTAGAAGCAGGTGCTTTGAGCTCTGACTTGAAGGGTATTTTGCTGAAAGCTGCTTAAGCCTGCTGGACTTCATTAGGGATATCCTTCCCCTCACATGTGCCTTGCTTTTTTTGGCATTAGCAGAAAGAAAATTAAGGAAAATAAAGTGAATTGCATACAACGGCCATAGTCCAACAGCAGTGCACAATGCTAATTAAGTGGAAAGGCTTTCTTTGGCCCCATCCTCCTGGTGAGCTGTCAGACAGGAGAGGGAGAAGGAGATCTCTTTAGGCTCATTTCCAGCAGAGCGTCGCTGACTTGTAATTAAGTCGTCTATGGTGGCATGTTTGTACAACTGCTTGACACGCTAACCTGTACACGTGCACGCAGGCAGTTCTGCACAGCCCCTGTACAGAAACTCTCCAGGCATCCCCAAAAGACCAGAAAATGCAGCTGGGAGCTCTGCGACAAGGAGGAGGTGTTGTGATCTTTGCTACTATCTGATGGAAAGCAATACTGCTTTGGGAAGTGGGACCCAAGGGAATAATATAGCAAGTGGCTTTTTTGGATACGTGCTAGAACTTCTTGTACATGCTATACAGCTGCATTTATGTTTTACATCTGAGCCAGCTGAGACTCAGCTTTTGGATAATTACATTTGAACTCCACTTAGACGCACTTGTAGCCATTTATGGAGGGCCTTTTTAGAACAGCGTTGGAGAATCAGTGTGAAGGAAATACTGACGAGGGATATTATTCCCGAGGGAGGAGAATTAAAAAAAAATAAATGAAAACAAAACAGTGCAGACCTTTGGGTTGCGCCCATTCTTGTTTCCTTTGCTTATTATATAATTGTTCAAACGACTATAGCTGGAGAGATCGCATCAGTTGCATTATTCCCTTTTTTGGTAATTCAGGCCCTAAATATATTCTGGGCTGCACCCTGAAAACAAAGGGAGTGAATGTTTTTAATGAATTTCACATGCAATGGATGTATTATATGGATGATACATAAGCAAAAACAAGAAAAGATTGAATTAAAATGGGTTTGGTGAGAAAACAGTAACACTTGTCAATTCCACAATAGAGATTTAATTATTCTTGGTATTTTGAAAACTAACTGGCAGCAACAGTAACATGTAACATAGTGCCTGGCATATTTCCATAATATCTTTGAAGCACAGATAGACACACCAATTTTATGCCAGAATTACATGTTTCTGCCCTGTGCTCACAGGCAGAAGGGGGACTGAGGTTGAATTAAAGCACATACATTGTGTGCAACGGGCAAGGTATTGAACTAGTAGGAATATTGCATTTAAACCATGTGAGACTCAGCTTTTGGTTAATTACAAACTGATCCATGCTTCTACTTATGACACCAGACTGCTACTGTTTTCAATAGACTGATACTTAGACCTATAATTGCAGAATCTTAATTACATTTTCCTATAATTAACTTTCCCAGAACTATAGTCCCTCCTAAGAAAGATATGGCTTTTTATATGAAAAATTATTTTGTCTGAATAAATTAATTCATGTGCATGTATTTCAAAGTGCAGCTCTCTCTCCACTCTCTTCCTAAAACCAAGCAAAAAAAGAAACTCAAAACATTTACACATATGCAACAGTAATTATGTTAAAGAATAAAACTGAAAGAAGCATAATAATTTTACTGCCCCTTTAAAATAGATACTAAAGAGAGAATGGAGAGAGACTGGAACTTAAAATACAAAAAAGGTTTTTCTCTAGCACAGTACCAATAGCTTTGCTATAAGCCCTACTGGTGTTCAGTAGATGAGCCTGATGACAAGGCCCATTAAGACGAATGGGAGTCATTCCTGTGGCATTACCAGGCTCTGGTTCAGCCTTGTAAGCACACATACCTATATACACACCCCATTTTCTACCTGTAGATATGACATACCAGGTCTGGTATACATAAACACATTTCTGTCTGTATATGTACACATTCACAGGCTATAACACGCTATTTCTGACACTTCATACTGTGTGAGGCAAACAGCTGTCACTGAAAGCAAGCCATCAAACCGGTGTCCTCCTAACTGCATGTAAACGTGTGATACCCTCAGGGACTTGAATTGGTCTCTGAGATGTGACTGCCATCGACATGGTTTGTTTTCTTTAAACCCCTTATTTCAAGCAGGTTTTTCTACTCCTTCAAGTACCATACTGATTAAATAATTGATATTAGCTGTATTTGACTCAAACTCTGCAAATATTAGATCCTGCTGCAATTAATGAGATCTGGTGCATCTTGAAAGCAGCAAAAGCTTTCTTCTCAGCGTGGGATGGGAAAAGGAGAACTTCTACAGGACTAGACAAATACTAACCAAGTATATTCGCCGCTTTTCTATAAAATATAAACACACAAAATCTGACCATATTTCAGCCAGGGCTGCTGATGGCTGAACTTCAGAAGTCTCACAGAATTCGGGAGATAAACCATTTGGATTTGTGCATCTCTATAGGGAATGACAAAGGTGAAAAGGAAGAAGAAAGGGAGTGTAACTTCTGCAGGGGACAAGGGAACTTTCCATTTGTGTTGGAAATCTAGTGAGAATACCAACACTATGAAACCAGTAGATATTTGTATGGTAAAAAGCCATCTGACTTTGGGGAAAACTCTTCCTAAGTTAGAAGAATTCACATAAAGTAGAATCAGGGAATTATTTTTTATTTTTGTTCAGAGAGAAGATGGGTACTTATATTTTGGTTGAGGAGATTACTTTCTTGCTGCAACACAAAAAAACTTGCATAAAGTTTTGTTACACTGTTAAAAGACTTCATTTTCATAAAAACTATTATCAGTAAACTGTAATAAAATAAGCTTAAAGAATTCCTTTTGTTTCCATGACTAAGATTGTCATTTTAAATATTAATTTATATGGACAGTAGTTGAAGACTTTTGGTATCGCGTGTTTGATATACACATAATTCTGTGACTCCCTGTCACACAACCTGCTGATACACTTGGCGAACTCCTTCAGAGAAGGTCCCAGCATCAGAGTCGATATTAGGAAGGTCTAACTCTACAGACATCCGTAGTGCACAAAATACAGATGAAGTGCTTTAGTGAATTGAGGCCAGAAGGGGTCACAGTCTGGTCCAAATATCAACCTTTTGCAGAACTGGAAATCTAAATTATAGGCCAGTGCAAGATGATACTTGTAATATCACACACTCATTTCCTACAGAAGAGTAAATACACCTACCCACAACACATCTTTGTTGTTTCTCACCTCACTTCTCAACCTAGGAGGAGGCTGCAGCACTTCCCAGAGCCTGCGTTACAGGACATTGCCATTGAAGAGGGAAGGCTGCTGGTCTGCCCCTTTCATTAAGTGTTACATTCAGAGTCACAATTTTCAGAAGGAATTATATACACATTATCATACAAATGAACAACAATATATTTAATGGAAGAAGTAATAAACAAGTTTTTCCTTAGGAGCAGCAAATAGTAACAATGAAAGAAGTATTAGACAAACGTGTAGTTTTTAAAAGAAGTCACTAGACATCCAAACTTCTTGCTGCTTTGCTTACTCCCTTCCTAGATTAGCCCAGTTCTTGGTCTGTCTTTCCTAATTACTGTGGCTGACTTCATTAGGTAGGGTCAGCTACAAATCATTTAGTGAGCCAAGTCTCCCTCTCACAGAGTACCCCAGACTGGCAATCCTGCTGCAGGTTAGAAAGTGTGTCAAGGGTGGCACAGGGGGAATGTGTGTCTGCTCGTGTGCCCACACTTGCAATAACACATGCGTGTAATGATGCTTATTCTCAGTCAGCACTTGTGGTTGTCATTTCACAGAGTGGAGAGTGATAACAGCTCCTTTCTTCCCTGAGGAAAATTAAATGGTGACCTCAGTTCTGCACTTCATAAAGCAAGTTCCAATACCAAACTACACGGCTGCCTTCTCGCAGTGCAACTGTTCCCTTTGCTGCACTCAGCTGTGACTTACGTGCGTCCAAATGAAACTAGAGTTGGTTTATTTCATTCCAGATATCACTGCTAGTTTTACACATACTATGTTTGTAGTGATTCTGGAAAGCCTTTGGAAATCTACAGGGATATGTAAATGTTATGCAAAATACCTCAGCAATTGCAAAAGACTTCAAAGGCAGCTGTAGGTGCACAGGAACACTTCTGAAATTCAGACCTTATGTACAGCTGGAGCTCACATTCAATATTCTAATGAACTGAAGTGAAAAAGGAAAAATATTGGATCCTTTGTGCATTTTCAAAGACAAACCTGTGTGAAGTGATCGATCTTCTGTCTATAGCAAACACACTTTGCAATGTACATAGATTTATTTTAAAAAAACATGAAAGTTTGACTTTTGAATCATTTTCTTGTGTTTGCTCAGTGCTGACAGAACAAAAAAATGCTATGCAAATGTTACTAGAACTGCACATCACGGTACCATTAGAAAAAGCATCAGTTGCCAATCACTTACACTTTCTTCTGTTCACTCCTCCTGCAGCCTTTGAAAGGCTTAAAAAGAGCAGCCAGCCAAATAAAAATGCATTACCTTCAAAGAGCCAATACGCTGAAAATATTCTTCAGCTTTCAGTACTATAAACCTTGGATCCACAGTACGCTACAACAAAGTTGGAAGGACTGTAATGGCAAAGCATATTAAGCACATGACAGCAGCCACTTACAAATTGGCTCACTTCTGTTATGTTCTTACTTACCCATGACAAGGTATTGCGTCCTGATCTGTGATCCTTGACTCTTCTAGCTGTTGATATGCTGGTCCTGTAATCCCATTGAACCTACCCCGAGGTAAGGGAGGAGTCCGCCGAAAAGTATTTCTGTGTAGCATCCCACTTTTTTGTCCTGGGCTGCAGCATGAAGAGAGACTTCTAGGAACAACACCAAGAGTACAGTAAAAATTATCACAGCAAAAGTGTAAACTTCGGCAAAGAAAAGATCCAGGATTAGTAATGCATGGATTGCTGTTTTTCTAAACTTTGCTGTGGTGGTCTATGAGGTCAGCGGAAATTCTCTATGGAAACATAGTACTATAATCCACAGTTAGCTGCTGTTTATGCTGTATTTAATACACTACCTCTCTTCTAGGAATGAAAATAATTGCCTGGTATATGTTTTCTTGGATGTGATGAAGGATGCTTCTTTTTTTCCATGCTGCGTACTATAATCTTGCTATATAGAGTTGACTCCTCAGACCATAAATAAAGAACACAGCTCCATCATACCTACAGCTAAGCTCAAAATCAGATCTTAGATTTGGAGCCCACTGTATCATCTATCAGCCTACAGGGTCCTGCTTCCCGATACAACATTAAATTGGGAAAAAATACAAGTGAAGAATATAAGTAAAGCTTATGCCAGCAGCTTGAAGAAATCATCTATGACACAAATTTTCTCCACACTGAACAAGATTTCTTTTCTATATTGTTTTATTCTTTTATATGCATTGATTTTCTCCTTTACACATAGACAAATACTGTCTTGTTTCTTTATGCGATATAATACAAACTTGAATATGACAAAAACAAGTAATAGTTTTCTACTTATTGTAGAAAATTGCTTTTGTAAACAACATTTTTGTACTGTTTTGGAAGGAGAATTGATTTTTTCCATTTCATGCAGGAATTAAAAGGTATCTAGAATCCAAATAGTTTTGCTATATTAACCATAAATTCAGCTGTTGCTGATGCAAAAATAAGGTAACACAACATTAACACAAGACATAACCTATTTCTACTGTTAACAGGTCACAGTACTGCACAATGGGACTGGCTCTTCATTTTCCACCTACTCCTATTTCTCTTGGCATCTCCTGGGTTTCAGAAATGCATATGTATTACCTAATATTCTGTCACATCCTAAACAATGTTTTAATGTAGGTTTTGTAGATGAATTTTAAGAATAATTATTTTTAGTTACAGGAATAATTTTAGCTTCTGATACAATGCAGCTATGCAAAAGACTTTTGATAAGTGTGCTTTTCTTTTCCTATTATAATGTGACTTAAAAGCAATCTGCATTTTATACCTAGTGGGAACTTTATTTATATTTACAGCCACATCTACTCCCAAAGCAATTCTTGTTTGCATCCAGTGTGTTGGACAAATTCTCTTGGAGCATACATTTCCATTAAAACCAACCTTTTCTCCCCGAAGTCAAAACATAAGAAAGAAATTCAACAGTCTCTATCCTACTGTTCAGGCTGGCAGTGTTCCATCAGGGTCTCCACTCTGTTCTCTTCTACACGTTTACTTTCCTGGTGCTTTGTAATTGAAGAGATCAATAACCCATAGCAACAACATTCCCTCAAGGATTTCTGATGCCTCCTTAAATAGATTTTTCCTTAGTTATTCAGGAGGCCGCAAAAAACCTTTTTTTAAAAAACTAAAGTATTGGCCTTTCAACTCTGAAGGCTGAGATCAAGTTCTGAGTTACAGTTCATATTCTGTAAAATAACACTATCACATCACAAAAAAAGAAGAAAATTTCTGCTCAGGACAGACTGAGATTATTACAGCAGGGGATCTTAAAATATGCAGCTGAATGAGTAATTTGTGATGGATAATGAATTGCAGGGTTTTTCACTGATTGCAGTATATTCATCAATGTACTAGAAAAGTCAACAAACTGATTAACTTAACAGATTTTAGAGTGATTGCAAATATTTGAAACTAGAAAGGCATTGTTTAATTGTGTTTGGTTTGATGCCCTTGCACATATTCCTTGTTGGATGAGAGCACATGGTCTCCCATTTAATAACGTGCACATGCAAATTCACAAAAGCTCTGCGTTTGTAATAGACTTTATTGCAACACATACAGTATGCCCGAGATAACTGGTATAAACTACAGCAAAAGTGCACATAAATGACCTATCTGTACTCCCTTCAACTTGCACTGAAACTCTCATTGCTGCATCAAACACCAGAGGCTACAGACTGCTAAAGGCACATGGGCTGGTTAGAAGGAAGAGATCTGGCACATGGCAACATCTTCCTGCAATCCCAGTAGCTCCAGCACTGAAAGAGCTTAAGCAACTGATTTGTTGTTGATGTGAGGTTCTTAAGCTTTCAATATTTCTAACAGAAACAATGGAGGAGAGATTGAACAACAATAATTTGTGGCCACGGACAAGACAAATTCACTAACAAGGACCAGGAAATGTTTACTAGACAATGCCGCTACAAGCAAGCTTCAGGATAACACTCATTTCTTGAGGCACCAAAGACAAGATAGTCACAATTTTTGTTAAAAGTTCTATGAATAGGTAGCTCCAGCATAATAAAAGCTTTTCCTTTTTCCCAAAACTGGTATGAACATCAGCATACTCTTCCTCAAAAAAATGTCAATACCGTCCCTTCTCAGGCTTCTGCTCTATTGCTCATGTGTAGTGTTCCTCCCTCTGAGGCAAAAAAATGCCTTTTAGATTACTTCAGGGAATTTGTCTTCCTGTAGCCAACATTATGGTTTCATCCTCACTGTACTCCAGTCTAATTGGGTAAAAAAAACTAGCCAGTGTAAGTAATTGAGCTGTTCAAGAAAACAAACCACAAGGAAAGCTGTAGCAGATATGTCTTTAAAATCTATTAATCAATTACTCCAGAATAATCAAAATCAGAACGTGCTTGAACTGGTTCACAAGTAATGCATAAACTAGGGAGAAATACAGTTCTGATGAATTAATGGTTTGAAAGTAGTTCAGCCATTTCTAAAGGTAATTAAGAACTTGGGATTCATTGTTGCAAATTGTTTTGTGTGAAAATTTTCTTTAGGTTGAGCAACCAAGTAAAAACAGTCTGTCTCAGCAGGTGGAGTATTCTCTTCTCTAGGCAAATACACAACTCTCAAGTGCAGTTAACCATGTTCATGAAGAGGATAGCACTTGCAGTGAATTTACAGTAACTCTGGGAATCCTCCTGTACTACTTTTTAGTTAATTACTAAACAAAATTGATTATACATCCCATTATGAACACATTTAGAAGTAACTCTGTCAACAGGAACATGAAAAGCATTAACAAGAGGATGACCAATAAAGTGTTAAAACTTTAACAAGCACACTGGAGCTATAGAAATAGTGCTTATATCTATTTTACTAATTCTTTCCCCTTTTTCATGATTGAAATTCACAAAAAAAAAAAGATGAAAAGTTGAGGGAGGAAGGAAAGTTCTAAAATTGATTGTAAATACTGTGGCTCTGTACCTGCAAAAACAGAGGCCTCTGTGTATCTGCATTATAGTTTTCCTGCCTCTCCCTGCTTTTGCCCATTAAAGGCAGCAGACAGATGTGACAAGATCTGGCTCACCTACACCAAATATAAAGAAAGTCATCAGTGTAGTGTTGCAGGAACTGCTGCTGGAAAACTATATGAGAATTTTTAGCCTTTTTTGTATGTACCCAAAGAATACCTCGATTTTATCTGAAAGCCTTGGCCAGTGTAATTCAACATAATAGGTCTTTCGTTCTTTCAATAAATTTTTCCTCTTCCTAAATATTTGACATTTGTCCTTCCATCATCACGTGACACAGCTGCATTTTGATAGATTTTGCTACCAGACTTGAAATTTCATGAGGCAGTTCTCCTTCCCAACTTCTTTGATCAAGATTAACCAGACCATCTTAACTTGAGAGCTTTGATTTCTACATTTTACCTCCACTTTGATTGTAGTAGTGTCTATTTTCATACATTTGATTCTACTCCTATTCTACCTTCATTCTCAAATAACCATCCTAACTAAAAAATGGATTATTCATTCAGGATTGCCCTAACTGCTTCATATATTATCTCTATCCCACCATCACCTTTGCTTAGAATAGAATCATTTTGGCTGGAAGGGACCTTTAAAGGTTATCTAGTACAACCCGCCTGCAATGAGCAGGGACATCTTCAACTAGCTTCTTCCTGTATAGTACTCATCTTTTTATACAGCAAGAACAATTGATTACATTCAGTATTACCAGTAATTCTTAACTCTCAATGATTCCTGGAAATGTTCACTTCGAGCATGACTTCTTGCTCTCTGTGATATAGTTTGTTTCTTTACACTCCGTTCCTTTTAGGCATTCTTTTTAACAAATTTCTCCAGAAAGCTATGTTCTTTCCTTGGGAAAATACCAGATTCCTTATACTTTCTCTCTTGTAGGCTTTCTTTGCCTTTACATTCTTAGATGCTTTAGTTTACCAACACTTGTCCTTTGAAATTCAAAAGCTTTATTTACAGAATAACTTTAATTTACTCTTAATTTAAACTGAATCAATTATATTAGGAGCATAAAGAGTAAAATGCTTACTAAATAAAAAAACCCCCATTTTTACTGCGGTTTTCATATTCACTAAAAATGCAAACAAATTATTTTAAGTTTTAAAGTGAGTTTATTCTATTTTGGCATTTTGTAAGACAATACAACTGCTCTACGCTGAAAGCATCTGTGTTTGGTTTTCGTCATGGTGATCTCTGAAATGAATCCCTCTAAAATCAATGATGACTGAATCAATGAAAGAAAGTCAAGATGACTAAATACCAAGAAAATTGCTATTCAAAGAGATCACGACACAATCCCATAATTAAGAAAACTTTGTTTCTATCAGTTAGAAATTAAGACTGCACTGGTTTTCTTCTTACTAAAACCAACAGAGTCTGAGATGAATTTTTGAGCACACTGTATAGTTTACAGGAAGTTTACTGATTAAACACATTTTTTACTTTCCAGTTTTGACAGTACTAAGACCTGTTTTACATAAGCAAGCAGATGATGCTAAATTCTTCTACCATAATAACAGTGCATAATACTGGTGAAATAATTTAGGAGTAAGATTCAGTGGAGATTCACATTTTGAATTCAACCTCTGCAGTAATTTTTTGCATACAGTTGAGGTTGACAGAGACAGAAAATTAATTATCTATTAATCTGAGTGAAATAACTAGGTAATCTCTGTCAGTCAAATTTCAGCAACCTCAAATGGTTCCCCATCTGGATAGTCTTACTGCCAGGCCAAAGTTGTACCGGTTTTAGGAATTGGAAACAGCCCCTGATTTTAAGAAATTATTACCCGTTGTTAGTACCCTTGAAAGAACCAGCAGGTCTGGATGCGGAACAAAATATTTCCATAGCAAGCAGAAATAAAACAATAATATAGTTTAACAACAGCATAAAACAGAGAACCTGCAGAGCTGCTGTAACTTTTCCAGGCTCACGTCAGGTTTGGATTGAAAGTAAGGGATGTTTTGGACAAAATCTATCTCAGTAAAAAAAGAAGTTCCACTGAGCACTATTAAGAAACTAAAGAAACCGAGTAAATGATGGTGCATAAATTAGACAGCCTTATAAGTCTTAAATGTTCAAGTCTGTTGCATGTTTTATAAAGCAAGTGCCTTGTATAATATATCTTAAGTTATAAAACTACTAAAAGAATTCTTTATAAATTAAGTTAGCAATTCTACAACTGAAAACAGTTCTGAAACAAAGACTCTCTGGTGCTTGACATCTGCAAGTAAGGTAACTGTTGGGTATTTTGGTTTGTTTGGTTGGGTTTTTTTTCTGGGAAAGAGAGATTTTGTGTGCGAAAGTGTTAAAATGAGCAATCTGAGATTCTGCATTAGTTCACCGTAAATTCAGAGTGGCTTATTCTGTAATTTCCTTGTGGAAAATGGGCAGTCTAGAGAGTCGTTCAGCTTTTATTTTAAGTGACATTGATAAACAGAAGAAATATTTTTAGTCTTTAATTTATTTCAATATTTTTAAGCTTAGGTAATATCATGGTACAGCACCTAAAACATTTCAAACTGAATATTGTAATCATGTTATTAAAGGTAAGAGAATGTCACTCTGTTTTTTCTGAACTTCACTTTTTACTAAGTGGAGATAAAATTCCCACCAGAACTTTCTTGGAAAGCATCCTAGGTAACAGTTCCACAGTTCATCTATGGTCAGTAGAATCATTATGCACACTTTGAAAACCACTGTGTAATAAAGAATAAGCCCTAAGGAATGGATCTGACATGACAGTTGGCATTCTTTTTTTTCATGCCAAATTAAAGGCTTAAGCAAGTTAAAAGCAGATAGGACCGAAATATCCCTTCCTGGCTCATATGCTGTACTTTGGTAGGTTAAGCAAATCATTCATTCAAAAGAGAAAGAACATATAGCTGACTACGGGACTGCAATGAAAGTACACCAAATACTACAGAAGCTAGATCCTAACCTCATGCAATACCAGACTTTTTTTTGGGTAATTTTAAACAAATTATCCTTTTACCAAATAAGTCTTCTCCTCCAGATTATCTAGCTAAAGAAACTTGGAACACATTTTTCTCAGCTTTTCTTCTGTCTGTCTATGATCTGGACCAGACATTACCACTGCCATTCCACCAACGGCTACTGCTTATATCAGACGCAAATTTGGTTTCTAGTCCTGTAATGAAGCACCTGCACTCTTTTTCATCCAAAAAGGCTATAAGCAGAATTCTAATCCAAATGCTATCCAGTGATGTGTGACTTTCCTCTTTTTTTCCTCTTGGAAACAACCATCCAAACTTTTTAAAGGCTAGTTTTCAAAGGCCACCATGTGTTCATAAATAAGTCATTATTAATTTCAAGTATTATTTGTTTAAAGAAACAGTAAGAAAGGCTGGAAGTTTGCAGTCATGTCTTTCTACAGCAGATGAGTCATTAACTTCATGAACATCGATATAGAAAGTCTTGGTTTTAATAGTTTCTCAAACTACAGTACTTTCATCCACTGGCCTGTGTCTACAGCTTGGATGGTGTCCTTAAATGCTTCCTCTAGGACTTTTATAAAATGCACATAAAGTCAGTGAGCATTGTTATTGCCTTTTATGTCTGCAGCTAAGAAAACGCTTGGACATCTGCTTAATGAGTCGGCTGAGGCTCTGTTGGTGCCATACCATTCAGCATCTCTCCTAGTCACAGCGCAAAAGAATCCAGCACATGTATCACCGGTTCAATGCCATTGCTCGGCAGCCTGCCACTTCTCCCATCAGACAGCCATTTGCTTACCTATGTTGCTTGGTGGGCTGGTTTCCTCTGTCAGGAGACAAGGCCTCTGGGAAAGACTGAGGGCCTGAAAAACTAGACTCCATAACTTTGTCCAAAATAGGCCCAGGATGCCTATCTGGTTTTGAGTACTGTGGTACAGAGAAGAAAATTAATTAATACACAGAAGGCAAAGTACATTATTGATACGATTCAATCAGAATTCATATCAGAGTGGGGTAAGAAGTGCTCTAATGCATTTTTAAATTAAAATTAGGCATTGCAAGTAATACAATCATTCACTATTATTTACATAGCGGAAAGCACCGGTACTCATTATCCCTATTACCTTCTTCACATCAAAATGTTGATATCTGCATTAGTAGTAAAATTACTGACTGATCTGTCCATCATGATAGGGAACACTGATCCTTTTGACTACAAGCCTGTTTTTGTGGCTGTTCATGCAGAGACTGAGATAATGAAACACATCTCAGAGGACAGTCATCACTTTCTTGGGTCCTTCAGTGATTTCACTGCTTTTAAGAGCATGCATAACTGTGAAAAACAAACTGAAACAGTATTTTTATCACCAGACAAGAAATACATTTGAAACCTATCCTAGAGTGAGATATCTCTTCTGAACAAGTCTGAAACTTTTGACCTGAATGTATCTGTGCTAGTAAGAATGATGTAAACATAAATCTTCTTGTGACAGCAGTAGGCGTAGGGCAGTCTCTGGGCACATAGTGAGACACAGAGGTCTGTAAACCAGACACTGGACATGAACAAGAACAGATTTTCTTCTTCTTGATTTGTGATTCAACTGGAAATTCAGCAAAAATTGTGTCTTTCATCCTGAATGGAGCCAGGAAGTCCAAGTATAGAAAAAGCTGAATTTTGGCTTGGAATAAGAATCAATGTTGTTAGTTGTTACTGGCCAATATCTCAGAGATATGAGGTTAATCCCCATTTCCATTCAGGTAGGAAAAATAGTGTACTTTGCACTTTGCATTACATTTACCTGCACTAAAACTAATTGGTCTATCTTTGTTTAATCCATTTCTTTCTGTATTGAGTTTGTATTGCTAGTACTAGATACCTAGATATCCATGTTTTCTTCACAATAAACTGGTATTGTGGAAGCTATTACATGATTAAACATTTTAGAAAGAAAATACAAATTTAAATAAACATAATATAAAAAACCCCACAGTGGTAAAAAAACCAAACCCAACATGCTACGGTACAATAGCATAAACATTTAAGGAGAAGAGTAAGATTTATTTCAAAGTACAGTTATTCATAATTATTTTGTTGTCTAAAAAAAGACCCATTACTCCTTAAAAACACAGAATTATCTTCTGATTCTCACTTATTCTTATCTACATTTCTCCAGACTTCAGGAAAATAAAAAGTCATACAAGATGGCTCTCTTTTAAAAATGGGTGACATGCAATTTTAGTCTGTCTATCCAGACTTCTGATGACAAACTTCTATAGATAAAATAACAGATCATATTTTTCTCCAATGCTCTTCTCCCTCTTTCTGTTGTGTGAAATACCCACATAAACAGGGCCAAAATCTGCTTATGGGCTTCTGAAGGCAAAGCTACAAGAATGAAAATGTGCAAAATGTTACTGCATGCATGAAGCAAACACAACTGAAATAATAATAAGAAACATATTCCACTCTTGCTTCTTTCAGTTACCATGACCTTAGTTGTTACTTGTAAATGTTGTAGATAAAATATTCAGATAGAAGTAGGATTTTTAAGGTACTTCTGTCTGTGAAGGTTTTAAACTTTAATAGTTATCCTGCCAGCTGCAGAAATGAAATTGTCTTTGATTTCTGACCTGAATAAATCAATGTGAGCTATGTAAAGAAAAGTTGTTAGTGCCAGGAAGCTCTTTCTGTCCTTTTTTGTGTTTGTTCATGATACTGAATTGAAGGTCTGAATGGCTTATAAGACCATGAGTAGAAAGTAAATTGTGAAAGGTAATTAGAGATAAGCCGTGTCTTCTGCTACATCCATGGTTAAAGTGGATGTGGGCTGGAGTTATGGTATACAGAATCTCTCCTCATCACAACTGAGGAAAACTAGGACCCTCAGAAGCTGCTCTGATGCCAACCAGCAAATATACTGAAGGTCCAACACCCAGCACCACCCAGACACTGCCCCTTACAGGCAGGGTATTTTTCTCCCCCTAACCAAACATTTATTTTATGCCATTTTCACCACTTAAAAATTACCATAACAGCCATAACATTAATTAAAACGAAAACATGAATTACAATTTAAATTGAGGGTGTGAATATACAGAGAACTTGACCGATGTAATTGAATTTATTTGGGTATATCATATTATTCACACATTTTAAAAGGTTTAAACACAGTTGTGTTCATTCTCTTTTAGCTTAACTGTAAGTGCCACATCCCTTCTCTGATACCATCTCTGGAGAAAAATATCTTCAGATTTCTGTGAGTTTACAGCAGGATTAGTTGGTGCCCCCAGACGTACAGTATAGGATTACTCCCAATCCGTACCCCAGCAGAGCCCATCCCGTTGCTTCCACAGCCCAGTTCCCACCTGAGCTGAGCTCTGCAAAGACCTCTGACTGTTGTGAGCTGCTGAATACTCACCCATGATGGAGAATAAGCTGTGAAACAGTTTCAAAGCACTGTTACAGTATGTTGAAAGCATCACCGAAAGCTTATCTGTATTATTTGAATTTTTATAGTTTTATTGTTGTCTTGCTTAGTTTTTGTAATTGTTTGAGCAATTACTAAGAAACGCCGATGCATATGGCTAAATAAATTAAAGAATAATGATAGCATTTAAAACCAATTTTGCAGATTTTCAACTTTTCACAGTTTCATAGCAATTACTAAGAAACGCCGATGCATATGGCTAAATAAATTAAAGAATAATGATAGCATTTAAAACCAAACAATTTTGCAGATTTTCAACTTTTCAGTTTCATGGATAAACTGTCTGTTATGTACAATTACTCAACTCTGACAATAAAATTCCACCCTCTGCTAGTTAATGGTAAGCAAATCTGCAAAGGCACTCTGGGCCAGGAGACAAGAAATGAGCCTTTGCCACTGACCTACTGTATGACTGTGGGCACATAATTCCCCTGCTCCATGCCTTATATTCTTTATTCTAAAATGCAGAATCCACAGATTCTACTCAAGTGCTACAGATTTGACACTGTTGTCCCAGTGTTATGTAAAACAAGACACCTACTTCTCCCCCCAGCTTTTCTTAGCTCTTCCTCCTCAATGATTTCCCCAAAATAGTAATAATAAAAAGTCCAGAAATGCATGTGGCACTAGAAGAGAGGTGATGTGGGTATCTCTTTCTATAAGGACTGAGAAGGCAGAGGGGTTGGCTTTAAATTACATTCAGAGAGGGTGTCTCAGGGAGATAAAGAGGCAGTGATTTTTCTGGATGGGCTGACCTTGCACAGAAGCCCACCAGGTGGTATATTTAACATCCTTACAGCTGTTCTCATACCCCCTGTTTTGTTGCCAACACTATATCTAGACAGAGGCTAGTGAATTCAAGTTTGTCTGTTCTGGCAGTTCTTCCTTAGTCATGTGATATATAAGTGGGATATTTGCTCTTGATCTTATCTGATAAATCACATCATAACTCAGGCAAAACCACACAGTAATCTTTTAAGAGATTTAAGTGTATCTGTTACTCAACTTATACTCACTGCATTTCTATCACAGTGACTAAAATGAACTTATTTCCTACTACTATCAACAAAAGGCAACAAAACACAAAAAGAGCATTTTTTTCCTCTCATTACAAGAACATCAGAAACCTGGAGCTAGTGATTGTGAGCTATTAGAAACAAGTGTAATGAAAAACACTACAGCGTGAAAAACACATTAACCACCTCAGAAGGAAAACGATGAGGAATTAACAGATCCACTTAGTACTGTGGGAGAAAGTATTAAAATCCACAAAGGTGAAAAAGGCCACTTTAAACAACCATGGCAACTCTCAGAATCCCTAAAGGAATGACAAGGCTTCAGCTGCATTTTTTTTCTCTTGTTGCGTGACGTATTTGTCAAGTTATGAGAATTTAAAGAAACCCTATAGTCAAGGTGGAAAAAGCAGCTAGTAATGAGGAGCATGATTAAGACTCATAAAGACTGGTGAACTACAGAAAAATAGGAGGGCAACAACACCTCCTCTTGCTCCTTGCGTGGTGTATGAAGAGGGATACAGACCACTTGTCTTTCCAAGAGAGGCAGCTGAGAATGACAATTTACTTCCTTTTGCCTATGAGGACATTGAACCATTTGTGGAGTGCATTCATTAAATATCTCTTGAAGATAATATAATCTCTTTGGGAAGGGGTAGGTAATACTAACGAAAGTCCTAAATTCCATGCATTAGGTGAAATAAATCTGAATCTCCTGTGTGCCTCAAAGATCCTGCATTAAAAACTGGCACATCTATCTTTTCCTGGCTGAATAATTATAGCAAGACTACTAATGCGTTAGTATCTATCCCAAGATGCTAGAAAACCTAGAAAGAAGTTGTGTTTCTGGCAGAATATTTGGGAAAAGCAGTGGACTTGAAGGAGATTCAGAATACTAGGAGCTGTATTAAACACTTATTTATGAATCCTGCTTACTGTATACAGCATTTTTCATCTAATTTATATCCCTAACAAAATAATGGAATTGAAACCAAGAGAAATAGGCTTGACACAGGTGAACACAACTCCCAGCAGCAGGAGTCTGGAGAGAATACAACAGTCTTGACAAAATCTAACCTTTTATTTTTTTTCCCACTTTACAGAATCGCAAGTGAGCAGAGCAAGGAAGCAGAGGAAATGTAATGCATTTGAGTGTGGGAAGGAAAAGCATATGATGCTTCAAAATATTGTCAATACAAACAAAAAGCTTTATTCCTTGCAATATAGTAAATGTCAGGGAGGCATCCCCATTAAGTTTTAACTTAAATGCATAATGCTCCTTGCATTCTTCCTCAACATAGAGGTTCGCCAAGGGAGGCACTGGGACATGGCCATTCTTCCTCACTTTACCCTGCTGATTGGAGAGGGAAAAACCCTGAAGAGAGGAACTTCTTAAATGAAGGCAGTTCTAAAAAGCCTACATTTT